AAACCAATCCAAAGATTGGAGCAAGGCTCAGACAAAAGAGGAATTGTTTGTTGTTTGTTTTGATGCACCAAGTAAACATAAAAAAGAGGAAATAATCGAGGAAGAATGAACCTTTTCCCATCTATTTTCAAATAAGTATTACATATCCGAATATTTTATACAGAAAATGTTAACTATTTCAATTAAAACAAGTAGAACTATTACAAATTAAAATATTTGCTGAAACAATTTAATCTTTTTCAGGTTTTTTGTTCACAAATCCAGAGTGAGTGTGCATTGAGAGATGCAGCTTAGTTTGCAGCTTTATTTGCCGTTAAGTCCTCCTCCCTTCTGTCCTCGTTATTTGTGCTGAGAAGCCCAGAAATCATCATCACAAAGTGGCACATGCCCTTTGTCCATCAGCAATTGATGTGGGCAATGGAGGAAACATTTTGGAGGAGCGGGTGTGTGAAGTTTGCCAACATCAATCTTGTTTCAAATTGAACCGCAAAGTTACAGCTGAATGGATTGGCTTTCAAATGCAGGAGGCCATGGCTACACGGGATTCAATCCCAGAGTGAATCTGATTTGATCCCGTGAGCCATACAAAGGCACAACCCACTGATTGATAAAGCGAAGTGAGGGGAGATGAGTGAAAGGAGTAAAAAGAGACCCAAGTCAATGTGGGAGGGTGGAGCGACGGAGAGGCTGGTGCACGCAGAAAAGGAAGAAAATAGATGAGAAAGCAAAAAAAAAAGAAAAAAGGAGAAGAAATGTGTGAATGGAGAATAAAATAACACTTAGCAAGACCAGGTAGTTCTACAGAGCCCATTTAATGGCTTCCACACAAATTGTAAAGATGTGAAAAAGCGTGGCACTGACAGAGGGAAAATGGAGATGTCTGTCTACGATAACAGATTTTTTTTTATCTCTGTGTGTGGCCGATAACAATTTTATGATCACAAAGCACAGAGTCGCACTGGAGGTACGTCTAACCTTGACATCAGCTGCTGAGGCGTTCCTTCAACAATTTTTTTAAGTTTCACAAATATTTTTTGCTCACAGAAAAATGGCTTTTTTGTCAGTTACCATAGAGAAATTAAATGAAGCATTTTGTGCTTAAACAAGTCAAATGTCACAAACAAAAGTTAAATAAGTTTACAATTAAAAATAATACACTTACTTTAGATTTCCAGGGAAATATGAAATTTCTCCATAGCTCTGATTGGGTTTTTTTGTCCAATAAATATTCAGAAAATTACTCATATATGAGAAAAACCCATTCCATTACATAATTATTTACATATTCAATTCTTTTCTGGTATTTCCTCACATGAGGTTTGGTACATATGAATAAATGTAATTAATGATATTTTGCTAGATAATTGTTTTACTGTGTTTTGTTTAAGTAAAATGCAATAGACTTGGAACTTACTTGAAGAACATGCATCATTGTTATATTTATATTAACTGTACTATATTTTCCACCTGTGTTTAAATTTTTCCTTAATGCATAAAATCATATTGAATCTGAATTACTTTAACTTATTGAACCTCTGAATTTTGGGCAATGTAGGACATTTCTATTTCCATTCTATGCTCGTCTTTTATTGGAATTTTCTGTTATTGACCAGAAAAGTTGTGTAAAAAAAAAAAAAAAGAGGGTGTGAAAACTTTTGCAAGTCCAGTGTGTGTAAGATGGACTTGCATTAATCTCAATATTTTTTGGGAGCTGAGATCCTAAATCTTAGAGATGTGAGAAAATTGTGGTGATGGAAAAGAGAGGGTAAAGTTGTGTAGCATTTATTTTAACAAATACAGCTAGATGTATAAATTGTACATTTCTTAATATTTCAGTGTCAAATATTTTAGACAGGTGGCCTGGACACTCAAAATCACGAGTCCATGCGCACACATCTCAGGAAGCTTAACAGCAAACTGGATTGTTCTGCATTTATTTACAAATTTTATGAGTCTAGAAAAGTCCAAACAAGCCACTGAAGGAGACACTAGGAAAACAACCAACAAACAAGCGTAAGTGCCAATAACGGGCACTGCTTATTGTTGTTCTGCCAGCTTTTACAGCATTTTCCCACAGAATTATCATCATGATTATACCAAGCACATGTAGCCTGGGTATCAAAATAAAATGTTAAAGTTATTGATAGCTAGAGAGCGTCATCCATCACATTAAAACCATCGATTTCTGTTTGTCAGCCCGCTCGACTCGGCTACCCGAACATCTTAAAGTAGCATTGGCAGCATATTTCCACAGCATCGGCGTCCCAAAAACGGACACGCTAAAAGAAATGAATAAGTGTGCCACTCCTAGAAGACTGAAGCAAAGCCCGAAATCCCTCTTGATTATCATTTCTTTTCTTGGTAAAACTCATTAAACAGCAAGACCTATAAAAGCAGCAGGGGAGATGACAGTCTTGCATTCTCAGTTGTTTTAGAGGCTTCTGAGCGCAATAAGCGTCTGAAAATTGGGGGCTGTTAAAGCGATTCTTTTTTTTTTATTAGTTTCTGTCACTGCCAAAATGTTGCTTTTCTACAATGCCAGTAACAAGCACGAATCCCAAGGAGGGCGGAGATAACAGAAGCTTTTTTGCTGCATTTTCTCAGGGCAGCTCTGTAGGGAAGGCATTTACACCTGCTTGCCTCATCTTTCACAATACACTAGGCCCCCAAAGTGTGCTTTACTTATAAATATCCACATCTTGTGGCAAAGATGGAACCATAAAAAGCAAAAGAATAGCTAACAAGTCATGTATGGGTGTGTGTATGTGTGTCTTTTAAAAAAGGACAAATATCTCAGACAAATGGAGTCAGTTTACACCTGTGATTCGAAGTTAAATCAGTGGAAAGGCTTCATGATGTGTCGTTATTATGAAACTAAATCCTCAGGAGGAAATTCTGAAGAGCTTGGTCTTACCAGTTAAATGCCAAAACAAATGTTTACCTTCACCAGCTTCAATTCAGAGTTAAAGAAAGACTCCATACAAATAGTTATGATAACTACCCAGGAGATTTGTTGACAAAAGCAACCATGAATTCAATGCACTTGACAATTCAGCATGAATCATGAAACGCACAAGAGGAAAACAAATGAACTACTCCCTCATTTTAGGTAAACCCATCTTAGCAGGCTTTCGGAGCGGTACCATCTACATCAAAGCCCGTCTCGCTGACTTTCAACTCTACCACTCCACTGACGGGGTGATGAGGAGGGAGGGTGTCGGGGTGTTCAAACATTAAACAGCATTTTTCATTCATGAGAAAATCATGCTCTGTTTCAACAATAGAGGGAAAAAGGGCTGATTCAGTCAAGTCGCTGCAGGGGTAATTGATAGGGATCCAGCGGAGGTAACTCCCAGGGGAAATGCTGGATCATGAATTCCTACCATGCCAGCGGAACACGGACGATCTATTGAGGTTCTTTTTTTTTTCTTTTTTTTTCCACAAACCCCTGTGGGCAAGAAAGTGAAGTTAATAAAGAATATAAAAGGGCATCTGAAGCTTAAGTACAGCCATGTGTTGCAGAACTACAAATATTTCACTGGCTTTTGAATTCAGAGTCAATCTGAAAAATGTATCTCAGAAGTAGGGTAAATACCTGAAACACAACCTCAGTAAATACAAAATGTAATTTTTAAATAATAAGTTCATTTTGGGGGGAAAGGTACCCAAACCACAATATTCATTAAGGTACGTTTGTCATCAGGCAGATTCCGATCTCATTCCAGACTCACAGAAGTCAATCAGAACCTGACGACAACATGAAATAACCTGAATAAGAGATTAAGAACAACTAATATCTGTGATGTTGAGTTAATGTGTCTATTTATTCAATAATTTAGAGGCAAAAAATGTTTTTTTTGAACTGAAAATGTTTTAATTGAACCCCACGACTAATATCCATATCTGCAAAGAGAAAGACAGATAGATGCATAAACATCTCACCAATATCTTTTTGTGTGTTTTTATGAAGAGTATAAAATGTATGACTGCCAAGCCCTGTCCTTGTTCCCACTTCATTAGGCATTGCAACAACTGTTCTTTCCGAGCCACATCTTCTTTCCATCTGTATCACTCTGGAAAATCACCTTGCGGCAGCCCAGGGAAAATTGCTGTTCATTTCACAGTAGCAAAAAAAAGGAAATGAGACTAGTTTGTGGACCTGGAGGCTGTGAAAGAGGCAGAGCAAGAAACTGCTGGCAAGCTGACTGGTGTCCAAACAAACGCTGGGTGATAAGAAAAAACTTGCAGGATTCTGTATAGTTATGTCCACACACACTGACAGAGCTCAGATTTGACTCTTCTGCGCTTGACAGGGTTGACTTTTCCCCTCCCACTGCTGCTAGAATTAGAGGGGTGTACATACTGTCAAAGCAGTGGAAAACAATCAAATTGTCATGGGGGGATACATCAAGTGCTCTCAAACACCCTCTTCCACTATAAAAAACAAAGAAAAGCTCAGCACTGCAACTCTTATCCATAAGCAAGTTGGGTTCCTCGTTGTGTATCTGAGAAACAAACTGGCTGCGACAAGTAAACTCCCAGAGCTTCCTTCAAAGCCTCACATCCATCCTGATAGAAGATTGGCTTACTGGGCTGGAAAAGGCAAGAAGCAAACCAAGCATAGCTGCCACGTGTAAAAGTTCAAGATTGTGCTCAAAACAAAAGCACAATTGCTTTTGTTTTGGGGGGGAAAAAACAAAAACAAATCTGCAACAGCTCAATGGACACAAAAATCAAATGCTGTGTGAAGCTCAGTGACGATTTATGCTTTCTTTTAAGGAAAAGCAGGCTAAATGGGATGTCTGACACAAACAAAAACATTTAAACTCAGAGCAGCCAGTGATTATATAAAAAATATAAGCTTTGCTTTAGGTTAATTATCATCTAAGTGGGAAAAAATGTGTTGCCACAAGATCAAAGTATCCATCGCCTTTGAGGCCAAACGAAGCATGCGTGAGGAGATTAATTAAGGTGTGGTGGAGAGAGATGACACCTCTTACCTTTACTCTGTGAGGAGAAGCACAGGGAGAGCTGAGCAAATAGGTCAGGGTTTTCAAACTTCTCTTCTTTGACTTTGATCCAGAAGCAATTCTCTGCCATTTCCTGAGGCACTATCTGCAATGACACAAGGATTCCATTATCGCCACAATCAGAAACCGTCATTCCATCAAGCCGCCACTCAAACTTCTTCTAGCTGGAAGATAGAAGAGGTTTTGTGAGTCTTTTCCTGTGTGTGGATACACGCATGACCTTGGGTGGCATACTGAGCATCTGAGTGGCAAACGGGACTTACAAAGGAAAAAGTAAACATGAAAATGTGAGGCTTGAAATTGTGAATTATTTGACTATGGTGAAGATAACAATCTTTCAACACTGTCGGGGCGACAGACATGAAAGCTTCTCATTTTTTCATCAGAGACTTGGATGAGAGAAAAAGCTCTAAAAGTAACCAACCACACAGAGACAATACTTCATCAGTAGAGTGGACCCCTGGTATTTATGGGGCTTAGGGACCACAGGGGTGTACATACTGCAAGCAGCTAAAACTCACAAATACTTCAGATCCTCTCTAAAAAGGCTTAGAAATTCATATTCTAGCATCCACAGTCCTCCTTATTTTTGATGTTGGGGGTACAGCCAGTTGTTACAAAAGCAAATTTATTGTACTTCTGGATTTGCTTCCTTGCAAACAGCAACCAATAGCATGTTTAAGGAGATTTATTATTTGTCATTTAAACTGCAAAGAGCAATCCAGGTTATTTCTGGGGTATTTTCTACCATTTAATACCATTACAAACAAACTCAATGCAGTTCAAAATTTTTCACGTTCAGAATGTGTGTTATGCATGGTGAGAAATGAAGTTCTATTCATTAAAGACAGGCAATTGTTAATCTTTAAAAGAGCATGAATTGTGTTCAAGGGACACTGAAAGAGAACCTTATTAATACATGACCAGAAAAAAATGTTGATCTGATTCAATTTTGTGTAAATTTTTTAAATGCTCCTAAAAAAATGACATTACTAAATTTAGGGGTTTATAATTTCTGAAAATTATTACATGGTTGACAAGTCTGGTGGAAACTGACGTTAATAATGACATTCATAAAAAGAAATTGAACTGTTTGATTCATACTATTCCTAATGCAAACTTTGAGAGAGCATTTTTTTGTTTCCAAGTGACTGAGGTTGAGAACAAATTGAAGGGCCCTTCAAGGGCAAAAGATAAATACCCCCAGTAAGTTACAGTTATTGCTACCTAATAATACATGTGACACTACTTTACTACACATTCTGTTGAGAGCTCCAGAAGTCTTTCCTTATGTAGCTTTTTATTGTGGCCCCATCCTTGCATTTCACTTATTGCACTGCCACCACCACCATCATCATCAAACCAGAGTAATTATGTAAAGAAAGAGTTGTAAAAACAGCACTTACACAACACAGAGAGTTGCAGCTGGTACTCAACAATCGTCCTCAAGGCTGCATAGTAATGGTGATTAATGCAAACGTGTTTGAGAGTCGCTGGCTGCGTTAATGGAGGTTTATGAAACTTCCAACACAGGCTTGAGTTCAGTGAAGCATAGATAAAGGACAACTGCACTCTGTTACTGAACGCTATGGAGGAAAAATGATCAAAAGGAGCAGCTGAAACTTCCTTCCATCCTTGGAGAGTCAGAGGTGGGCGGGTGCCTAGCTTCCGGGTAAACTCAGGTCACATTACAAATGATCATGCATGCACAGTCACCCTGTTTAGTCCACTTTAACCAAACTCTAGTTTGTTTGATTGGAAAGTTTGGTTAATTTGGGGAGCTGTGAATCCGCAAACTCTGATGCAGACTCAACCAAAGTCACGGTTCAGTTGAATGACCTTTTTTGCGGTTTGAATGCATGCATGAATGCCAAGTAGACTTGAGTCCCCTCCCAAATCAGAAAGCGAACTAAAGCAAAGGCCACTTGTATGAAAAACAACATTCTCCCTGAACTGCCTCATCTTCCAGTGTTTATTAGGAACATGTACCAAAGACAAAACTTACACCCACTAAAATCTGAAGCCACTCCACTTTTTTTTTTATTTTTTTACATTTCTTGAATGTAAAAATAAAAGTTGCACTCAGTGTCTTGGGAGTCTCTGGCTCTTGTTACAGCACCATCACATACAAGGGAGGAAACAGGTTGCTCAAACTGTTTGGTTTATTTGACAGTGCAATGTGAAAGCAAACTGCAGTAACTAAAATGTAACAAATGTTGCGATGCTCGTCTCCAATCGAACCAAGTGCACTGGACTATCAGGTGTGAAACCAGCCTTAGCAGTCGTGTTTATGGACTGTGCTAAGAAGCTGGAGCACCCAGAGAGCACCTACACATGCAAACATAAAAGCCCAAAAGGCCTAACCTCTCACTCACTGCTCAACTAAAACTTGAAAACTTGAAGGAACAAACTAGCAGGGACTCGTCTCAAACAGGGTAGGCATCCAATCCCATTATCACTGCCTAATTAAGAAAACTTTAAAGGTAAATCAATATTCACCATATGACAAAAATCATTATGAAGGGCTCCCTGCATGATCTCAGATGGGATTTTTCAGAGTAGAGTTTGCAGATTTTCCCTCACAGTGACTTTTCTTTGGGCAGTCCCACTGTCCAGACAGGGTGCATGTTAGGTTAATTGGTAATTCCATCTAAACTGACTCTCAGAGTCAGTGTGTGTGGGAGAGAGTTTGGCTCTTTTTCTCAAGAGCTTCCCAGTTGGCCCTTTGATAGACTTGCAACCTGTCCAGGGTGTGCTCCGCCTCTCACCAGATGATACCAGGAAAAGCTCCAATCCCCTGTAGCCCTGAAGGGGATGAAGTGGGTGTGGAAAATAAATGAATATTATTGCTGTGACTGCTGCTCCCACAGCCGCTTTTACTGCCACTACTGCAACCAATAACATTAACAATAATGCTGTCTTATTTAGAAAAATGTGACTCTACTAAAGCAGAAAGAACATTTTGTACTAAAATTGTAATTGAAGAGACCTCAGTGTAAATAACTCAATTGATGTGAGGAAGCGGTAAGACCTGGCAACACGTTTTAGTGACGATTTCTACATTGTATCGAGGCATATTTTACAACTAGAAAACCAGAAAACGTTTTAAGTGTAAAACATAAATTACAACAAGACATCAATTGCTTTTAAGAACACATAATTAAAAAGAACACTTTTCTAACACAAAGGAGCCAGTTGTCTCCTAGAAGACAGAGCATTTCTAGATAGAAAAGCTGGCCTGGTGTCTGGTAAGGCTTCACCTAAAAGTTAGTCACTGTCAGTGACAGAAAACTGACCTTTTTTTGGATAAATAAATTTCTACCAACAACATATTGGCAAGATGTGTGCCTACTTATTGAAAAAAGTAAGAAAATACTTTCCTTCTAGTGATTTGCACTTTTCAAGTGACCTCTGTCAGTACAATTGTAAGTGGATAACCACAGATCAAATTTAATCAGCCACTACTTTCTCTAAATATCCCTTCAGTTTGACAAATAGCTTTAGTGGCAACATGTTTTTTTTGTGTCTGAGCTAAATGAAGGAGAGAACACCAGATTGTAGCTACCATTTGGAAAGTTAAATGTGACTTTTTGTTGGCAGTGACATATTATTAATAGAAAAGAAAACAATGCTAACTTGTAGCTTTTAGTCAACAATTGTGTTATGTACTGACATCCAAATTTTCATTTCAAAGATAATTTAGGACAAGTTTGTCCTAAGAGCAAATCTCCCAGTATTCTCGTTTGCCTTGTGGTTTCTGTTTCCAATGTTTTTCTTTACATTTCCTACTCTTGTGCAGGAACACTTACAGAATAGACGACTTCAAAACCATGACACGAAAGAGAAGAATATATAACCTTGTAAAGATTTTAGTGTTTACATTTTGTATTCTCAAAATGTAAAATGTGCATCCATTTTTTTTTCAATCTTCATCAAAAAAACAATATTTCTATTTATTGCTATATGCCTAGACAGCTAAATATAATGAGGTTTTAGATTTTTATTAATAAAGGCTTTTACTTCTGCTTCTTTTCCAATCCAAAGTGTTTTATGTTGTTCTATCACATAAAATGACATGGCAAAACATGAATAATTAAGTGTAGTATAAATACTTTTGAACCAGTACTGCAGTTTCACAAAGTAAACAAGCCATCTAAAAATTTGCTTTGCAGTTTCTTCTGGTTATTTTTGGCTCTTAATATTTGACATTGGTCTTTTTCTGTCTAGTAATTTTGTTAATATTTTGCTGTTGAACTCTTGGTCTACTAAGTGGCTGTGGGATTTTCCTGCAGAGCCTGAGCAGAATAAAGATAGCCTCTGTGTGTTTAAGGGGAGGCATTTATTACAACTTGGGCTAATGAGCCGATGTCGAGCTTAAATATGAGCCTGTTTCATGGCACTTTGTGCAGCTGTGGTTATTTTCTTCCTCCCAGTGTATTCATGTTTCCTTTGTAATTGTCATATGTTCATAGATATTTGTAATCAAGACCTTAATATTATGGTAGAATCTAATATTATAAATGGTAATAGGCTAAAATTATTTAGCTTAAATGGAAGCTAGAGAATAATTTATTTTTTTTATTTTATTTTTTTTTACAATGGCCTTCACTTAATATTAATTTTCTCCGGGACTAATACACGAAAAAGAACATAAAAGAACAGCAATTAAAAGCTGACATTTCTCTGAGTTAGACCTGTCCCATGTGCATGTGTTGTAGCATTGCTTTTGGCTAATAATGCACAGCCGCTGCAACCTGCTGCTCAACAGGAAATGGCTACTGCAAATTGAAGTGTAGTGAGCAGCTCTATGATACAAATGAAGCATGAATACATAGGGATTGCTACAATAGAGTTAGTGAGAAAGCTATCGACGATTCATTTTCTGGCACAGGCCACAATATTACTAATTGAAAATTGATATTACCTCAAATATTTCATTTTCACTTTCAGACAAAATTATTCTTTGTATTACACCAGATTCACCTGGAGCATTTATTGCCCAAAATCTTATCCTTTTGACTAAATGCACATTAACTTAAATACAATTTGTTTACATTTGTCATGGTAAGAAAGGAGTACTTCCCATGTGCATACAGGTATCATCTAGTGATTGCTATGCTTTGTTGCCAGAAAGAGGTTGCTCTTTGCTATCATCATTTGTGGAAGTTTTCCTCTCATGCCAAGCTACTCCAGTAGATAAATACATTATGCAAGTGGCCTTTGCTTTAGTTCGCTTTCTGATTTGGGAGGGGACTCAAGTCTTCTTGGCATTCATGCATGCACTCAAACCGCAAAAAAGGTCATTCAACTGAACCGTGACTTTGGTTGAGTCTGCATCAGAGTGTGCGGATTCACAGCTCCCCAAATTAACCAAACTTTCCAATCAAACAAACTAGAGTTTGGTTAAAGTGGACTAAACAGGGTGACTGTGCATGCATGATCATTTGTAATGTGACCTGAGGTTACCCGGAAGCTAGGCACCCGCCCACCTCTGACTCTCCAAGGATGGAAGGAAGTTTCAGCTGCTCCTTTTGATCATTTGGCACTAAGATAAACATAGAACCTTATCCAGGCTCACATGTGATTTTAATTGTTCTTTTAAACGTCTTTTCAACATCTGTAGCAGTGCTAAGAGTTGTGCATCATCTGCTTTAAAAACATGTTAATGTGAAACATAAAGTTGAATTAGCACACTTCTTTTTGTTGAGTATTTGAACCGTGCTGATTTTGGACACGTATATGGGAGGAAAACATAGTGGATCTATAAAAATGTTTTGTTATTCTACTCTCTTTTATACAGCTGAACAGTAGTCAAGCCTGGCATTTGTGTACTTCCATCTGCTCCATATAGAGGAGACAGATGACTGATGTTCCACTTCACTGACACAAGAGAAGCAGATTGTTTTTCTTCAGGTGGTTATGAATTTAATTTGCATCATGAAACCAAATTCCCTGCTGAGGCAAGGTTAATCCTCTTCCACTTTAACCTGTTTACGTACACTCCTGCAGACACTGGTCATTTGTCCTCTTGTACATGCACACAAATCATGTATGCAAAACCACATCAACCCATAAAAATGAGCAATGATACCGATGATACCAGATCAAGGTGCAAACAAACACATTCACCCTGGGAATTGGTAGTCAGAAATTGCATTGTTGTTTCCCCTGTTTTGTAAAACAGAGAAAGGATGAGCTCAGGGAAACTAACAACTCGGGAAATAAGTAGTATTATCAGACTGTACATACAGAAGCCATGAGAAAGACTTAAATTCAGTTACAACTGACCTGATTTTCCCTCCTTTTGTGTCATTTAGAACAAGGTTGCTTTGATATAACATTTCACCAGAAATTGGCCAGATTTCTCAGCACTGCTTAGGCGGAATTGATTTTATTCACACTTGACAGTAAGGAAATATAAGAACACTGGTTCTGTGGGAATCTGTACAAGTTGGCATAAAAGGTCAATGTAGCAGGTATTAGATGTGCCATCAAAGGATTCATCTTTGGTTTGATTGTTACTCTCCAAACTCTGACCAATTCAGTCATAATTTTTTCAAGTCGGCTGTCTACAGATTGTACTCATGTTTTTTCAAGACATCTTCAAATATATTTTCTGGGTTATTTAAAACAATGTTTAACCTCGACTAACCTGGTCAGAAAATAAAAAAATGCGCGTATATTTTCAGTCGGAGAATGCCACATTATAGAAGTTTCCAAATAAACATCACCAGGGAAGAAAAAGATCATAAATATAAAGCTGCATTCACACAGCAATTAATTTTCCACTTTCTCGTGGCAGTCCAAATCCAATCGATTCATCCAAAGAAAAGAATCATTCAGGACAAGAGTATATAAAATTGATTTCTAAAATGGACCAATAGCAGCATAATGTTTAAAATAGCTCACTTTTCTAGCTGCCAAAACAAACCAAGTCTGGTGAAGAGAACTAATGTTACTTTCCTTTCTTTTAGAGTTAAAGACTTAATTTCGCAAATGAAGCATCTTTTTTGCTCTTTGTTTGCCTGAAGAAGTTCTGAAAGACTGAGATCTTCACATCCACTCCTGCCTGTGATCTTTTTGAAACTGTCAATTTATTTTAAGTTTAGAAAAACGCAGCACTTAAGATCAGCGATTGCTCGTAAGCGACACTGGGGTCAGCTTGCGAGCTGACCTTTTGTCGGAGAACATCAGATTACTTAAAGTTTAATTATTTTGCTATATGATGTAAAAAGAAAGAAGAGTTTTATCCATCAGGACTACAAACACACAAATGAAAATGGCTTTCCTCTAGACCTTGATCATTTTCTGAATAAATCTGCATAAGATACGCAGTGAATCTACAAAAACACATTAAAATACATAAAAGAAGACCTGAATCCACTAAAACCACCAGACATAATTTGCACTATGAGCATGACTACAGAAGAACAAACACGACATTTTGTTTGCAGTGTGTAACTAAAGAGAGGAGCACAAAGATGCACAAGTGGTGTGAAAAACCATCAAATTGACTCTAAAATTTAGTGAGACGATGGATAAAACATTCATAAAATACAACCCAGGTTGAAGAGAATGTATCATTGAAATTGTTTTTAAATGTGATGGAACATTACACAACACATTCTTTCTCCAAAATCTGCTAAGATGGTGCAAAGCCAATGGCATCTGAGCAATAAAAATTGTTTACCATCAAATCCTTTGAAATAGGTGTTGTGAGAGGAAGAGGGTGGCATGTGGCAGAACGGCAGTTTGAATAGATTAAAGCTGCATTTTTGCAAATCTCCTTCTGGTTTAGAATTAACATTATACTGTGGAGGCCTAAAAGATCAAAAACTTACTAAAAAATTTGCAAATTGACGGTCTGTGTGCAGATTGCACAGATTTCCTTTGTAAAGAGAGAAGTAATATTTGCCTTACAGCCTTAAATCAGAGAGAGTAAACAGGTCTGCATGAGATCAATGCACATATTAACCATACCTTGGACCAGTTGACCCTCTTCATCACAGTTTCAGGCTTGTAAATCTTCTTTGGCTCCAGTCCATAAGGCAGCTTGACAACGGGTAACCCAGGAGGAGGAGGAGGACCACCCAAGCCCCCAAACGGAGGAGGAGGTGGGACCCCACAACCTGGGGGCGGTGGGGGTGGTGGAGGACCTCCCCCTGGGGGTGGAGGTGGTGGTGGAGGGGGGATAGATGCGTGGCCAGGCAGAGGAGGAGGCGGAGGGGGTGGACATCCACCAGGTGGAGGTGGAGGAGGAGGAGGAGGTGGAGGTGCTGCACCTCCAGGTAGCGGTGGAGGAGGTGGTGCTCCAGGCGCAGCTGGGCCTGCAGCAATCTGCAAAGACAAAACAGGGAAATCTGTATCAGAATCCATCCTGAGTGAGGTTCTTTTTACCTGATTTAAACCTTAATCTGATTTGATGAGGAAAAGTCATAATAGCACTGGAGAAGAAAACCAAAAGTTTTCTAACAGTTCATCTCCACATTTCTGTAAATCACAAAATCAGGCCAAGATTGGACTTTAGTGTCTTTCACTGGATGATTGTAAATGACAGAGAATCTTTCCTCCCTTTTCTTTGCAATTCTTGAACATTTTAATCTAGAAGTTTAGGAATTTGTCCCCCGAGTGACTTTTCTATGCATCTTTCGAGGTGAAAAACTCTGTTGAATGTCAATAAAAAGAGGCAGTGAGTAAAATAAAAAAACCTTTTCCAATTCTCTTTCAATGCAGCACAAAGATCCATTATGATCTTGTCTAGGGATACAGTTTATGAGGCGAGAACATTTGAGGATTCCTGCAGGATACTTAATCATATACATAAAGACTTAAGTGTCATATTGTGATGTCTCAAATTGGAGGTAAAAACATTGGATAAAGTAAGATGTTTTTCCAGGTAGTCAGAAGTGTAAGTGTTTGTTCATAGTGGATTTTCAACACGTTGTGAATATATGTTGACATGAGTTCATACAATTCAAATATTGATTATACACCTGTTATTTGTTGCATTTACCATTACTTACAAAAAGAAACAGTTTCTCAGTATTGTAACATTCACTTGCCAATAGACTCTAATCTCAACTGTATTTAAAAAATGTAATTTCTTCAAGGACATACTGATTTTCTGAATCAAATTTAGTTGAGTCAAAACGCTGAACCAACGATCTCTGCATTATGTTATATGTTGACCACTATGCTAGCACATTTACAAACGTTTATTTGGTGGTTTAAACTTCATTCTGGAAAATTGTTACCTTAAAGCATTTCATTACTGCCCTTGGGAATTCTTTAAACATTAGGCAAAATATGAAAAACACACAGAAAAATGTAAACCACTTTAATTTACAATACATAAGAATGTTGCTTTCCCATCAAGAGCTCATTATGAATGCTTACAATAGTGCGCTATTAAATGGTAGACAGGGACGTAATTATAACTCAAGACATGTCGGGACTATCAAACATTTCAAATTACCAAGAAGTCGGTGAAAGTCCACTGCATGGCCGAAAGAAAATAAATGTTTATAGAAATAAAATTTATGCCAATTCCAAAATTAGACACTGTTGCTCCAGTTAGGCGCTGATTAGATGTCTCCTCTAACCGAAAAGCATTTCCACTTCTCATTTCCAAAAGCAATTCCACTACAATGTACATTTCCCCCACTCACTTGATTGTGTGCGTAAAAATGTAATTGGTTTCATATTTAAAGACGCTACATGGCTTTTCATTACATAATGGCACTGACTGATTTCTTATTAGAGGCAAAAATTTAAAAAATCCGTTCTTCAAGGAGCTCCTCGCTCAGATTGCTCAGAGCCCTTTGTCTAAAAAAAAAAAAAAAACATGCAGTGATTACAAGTCTGTCAATCTTTTAAGGCTAATAGGAGAGAATGGATTCAAATTAGCTGCTGAATTAGAGCAGATTTGTTTTCATAGTGAGCGGCCTCTATCTCTATCTATTTGATTTGAGCTCCAATACAAGATTAAGAAAAAAAAAAACTACTGAATAATTGACTATTTTTCTCAGCTTTAGTTTCTAAATTTTCAATAGAATGACTCTGCATTGGACAATTTATAGGGAAAAAGTTATTTTTTTTCCTCTTTTAACTTTCCTAACAGTTTTTATATCTGTTCAATACACCCACTCTTAAAAACATGTTAAAATAAATGTTTATTTCCAGGTTTAGTGGACACAGGATGTGATCAAATGTTTGCCTCAGACTCATATCTTACTTCAATATCAAGAGTTTAAGTATGAAGATAAAGGACAAACAGTCAACTCTGATTGCAAACAGTGTTTAACTTATCTTTAGATTGATCAAATGTCTTGAAAATCCAGAGAGATCTAAAATGTGCAAATGTGTTTACTGAAATCACTAATCTACAACTCAGTTGTAGATTAGGAGTCATTTCAATTTGCAACGTATAAAGAAATAAATGTAAAAATTCCAATAAGAAATTGATTGAAGACACTTACTTACCTTCACCATTATTTAAATGAAACTGGTGTTTTATTACAAAGTACCTTGGGGCTCGCTGACATCTGGCACAAACATGCATCTTAAGTGATTTGAATATGTTTAGACAAATATGTTGTATGTCTTTTGGTGGCCTTGGTGTATAGCTGCTCTCATAGCGATGATATAACCGATCTACAGCTATGTTTCCAGTGCCGACTCACTTTTACACAATTTTTTCTTCACAGTAAAGGTGTGTACTGATTGAGTTTTATTGCTGTGGAGCCCTCAGGGATTAAAATCTTTACTGTTGGAGAACTGATGCTACATGAAGTCAAAATTTACTGTATTTGTTCTTATTTACTTAACCCATATCATATTTGTTAAGCTACTAAATAAAAATAGAGTTGGTAGCCAAAACGACGCAACAAAAATGCAACTGTGTCACATCTTAGAAATGTCAATGTCTGAATAACATCTGCTTTTTTCTGTTAGCTGACAGTTCACTGACTTTTGTGACTTGCCTGTAAAGCAGATTACTGAGAATTATCGCTCAGCACAGATTTTGATCCCAGCTGTGAATGGTCGGGGCTTGCAAGGTCTGCTTTTATCCAAATTAGGCAGGATGCATGTTAATACCAGGTCTGAACGGGGCCCCAGGGCGCAAAGCAAGCATGCAAAAAGGACTAAAGATCAATCTCATAATCAATTTGACAATTTAAAGCACCACAATCCTTCATTCCTTTACTGGATACTTGGGTTGGAAGGTGATTAAATGTAGGATTTTTGTGTCAAGGGCCAAACATGCAACAAAAACACCCACCTTGGCTTCAGATTCCCTGATGAGTCTCTGAGCCTCTTTGAGCCTGTCATTTTCTACAGTTAACTGTGCAGAAAACACACACATACACCAGAGATGCGCACCACAAGATCAGACATGAAACAGCACACAGCAGACAGGGCAACAGAATAGCACAAATGGAGGGTGGGTTAGATAGACAATAAAATGAACACTAGTGAACCTCAACAGGTAAAAAATTCACACCAAACACAATAAAGACAAGTTTGGAGGACATAGAGAGGAGAGAGAGGGAGTTGCTTACACGGTTAATGACGATGTTAGTAACAGGCTCTCTACGCATTACATTGGAATGATGCATTATTGTGCAAAAGGCAGAATGTGTTGTACTTTTACACCTAAAACAAGATGTAATCCATCTTCAAAGGAACATCAGTGGAGAGCAACGACTGTATAAAAGGAACGCGGCACAGCAACACTGACAGTTGGTGCTCTTTCAAAAACCTTCTTCCATTTCCATTTTTTTTCCAGCTCCTGGCATCATGAAAATACATTTCAACTCCACACCCTCAGATGTGTGATGGGCATTGATTTCACTGTGCCGTCTTTGTTTTAGAAATGTACCCATTGTGCTTTGATAATTCACTCTCTGCAACCTTGCCAAAAGTAAGAGAACAGGAACATTTTCTGCAGAGACTAAAATATTTTCCATGCAGCCAATCTTGCAAAAGCTCACACTATGGACTGTAGAAACATAAATATTTGATGTGCACACTGGAACAAAAAGAGATGGAAACTTTCAGTTGTGTGGCTTAAAAGGATCTTTTTATTTTATAAAAATCTTTAAAAATTAAAGTGCAATATTGAAAGCTAAAAATATTTATTTTATAATTCAAGAGGTTCAATAAAATAAGACTGAGGTAGAAACAGAACAAGTTGATATTTAGCAAGGACATACTGATTTTCTGAATCAAATTTAGTTGAGTCAATATCAATAAAACAGAATATACCTGCAAAGTTAACTTATGTCTTTTAATTCAAAAAGTGAAACTAATTTAGGTTCTTCTAAAAATGAAATCCTGCATAACTAGTAAAATGAAAGGTTCTGAGACTTTCTGTTCTTCCTTTAAATTCTGAGAGACTGATTTCCAAAGAAAATCTTTGGAACTTCCGACTCTGATCACGAGGAACAACGTTTCTGATACGTTCAGGAAAAAAAACCCTACTTGCTTAGACAAGGAATCTAAAAGACGTAGCAAACGGTTAAATTACTGAGAAGTAATTTGAATTTTAGGCCCAGCAAATCCATCAGGTGTTTGCTGATTGCTGCTACTGCTGCTAGTCAGGAGGATTGCTGTTTGTCTCAGGGCTGTAATTTTCCCTATTGCTTGTGCACCGTCTTTAACTGTATTTTTTCCTTCCACTGAACTTTTTTAGCGAGAAACTTTTGTGGCGGCTGCCTGCTGCGTACCTGTTGACTCAGCAGTCTTCCCTGTGGTTGTGCAGGTCAGCAGATTAATCTAAAATAAAACAAATTAAAGCTGCAAGCAGCCTCGAACGGCCCTCGCAGCCAAGCGCCGCTCCGGCCTATTGCCACCGCGGGGTACTAGCAACCGTCGCCTCACGTCAGCCACCACAGAAGCTCTCACGCAGTTTTCAGCTCCTCCGCCCGCACCGCGGAAGCTGTTGCTCAGTATCCATCAACGCTGGCCACGTGCTAACACAGAAGTTGTTGCGCAGTTTCCGCGCCCGTCCACCAGGCGGTACGCACTGATGCGTTTGGAGGCGCTCCTTGACGATGCAAAAAATGTGGTGCAGATTCATTGGTTTAGCGAGGAAATATAGCTGGCGGATTAATGTAGGACGCGCAGTGGAGCCAAAATATATTTCAATGCTGTTGTTCTCTTTAGAGGTCAACAAAGGTCATACGTATCCAATTTGGCGTCAGTCGGAAGATCCACTTGTAATTTACAGCCGATCATATGCACATGGCGAAGTACTACAGTTCGTCATTTTTCATCATTTTCAGCTTTGTTTCTAAAGCACTATTTCATTGTTGGAGTAATTCTTACTCAGAGTGGCGAATTACTGAAATGGTTTGTAAGAAGTAAGAAAACGCTACATTTACTGCATGATTTAATTCAACAAAAATTATATGAGACATTTCTATCCTTTTAGAAATTTCATGGCAACGCTCTCACAAAGTTTTCGCGCCCATCCGCCCATGGATCTGTCATTGGTGGAGGAACACTGACACCTACTGGCGAAATACTGATATTGTTCTTCATCCTGTTTATCTGCTGTTTCATTTGTGGAGCAATACTGACCCCAAGTGGCGAATTACTGAAATGGTTTATAAACACCAAAAATAGGATCAAAATCTGAACTTCAATCTAAAATGGCCGACTTCCTCTGGGGTTTAGACCATGGCTCCAAGAGACTTTTTTGTAAGTCCTGACATGGTACACACGTGTACAAAGTTTCGTAATTGTAGGCTAAAGCATGGCTTGGGGCTGATCATTTAAAATTTTCTAGGGGGCGCTATAGAGAAATTAGGCCACACCCTACAAATATTGTGATGGATTCCTGTCGGGGAGTGGATGAAGATCCATCCTTGTGAGTTTGGAGCAGCTGCGCCCAAAAATGTGGAATTGAGAGCCAATCGTATGGCGATGGCGTTACAGGTCACTTTACCACGCCGCCACGCCCAGCTGCTCCATCGAAGCTGGTCGGGGTTGGAATCCTCAACACACCAACATGTCTTCTGTGTCTGGGCACAGTTTCATGTTGATGAGGTCAAAGGGGTCAGATAGCGACCGTTAAGAGTAAAACATCACACTTCCTTTTCTCAGGGGGCGTGGCCTAAGTGATGTCATCATTCGACCATAGGGTATTGTAGGACACCCGATGATGATCAATCACAGTAACTTTGGTGCCTCTGTGAGTTTCTGTGTAGGAAATATAGCAGTTTATGTTTTTATGGCGTGTAGGTGAACTTTGACCCCTGCTAACCCCCTTTCAGCATTCTCAAAAACTCACCGTTTTGATAACTTCAGATGGGACATGCCTTATGCGCAGACTGACCGAGTTTGAAGACGATCAATCAAAATCCCTAGGAGGAGTTCGATCAAATACGGAGGCTGTAAACGGCAAAAATGGGGTCAAAATCTGAACTTCAATCTAAAATGGCCGACTTCCTGTGGGTTTAGACCATGGCTCCAAGAGACTTTTTTGTAAGTCCTGACAAGGTACACATGTGTACAACGTTTCGTAATTGTAGGTTAAAGCATGGCTTGGGGCTGATCATTTAAAGTTTTCTAGGGGGCGCTATAGAGAAATTAGGCCACGCCCCACAAATATTGTGATGGATTCCTGTGGGGGAGTGGATGAGGATCCATCTTTGTGAAATTGGAGCAGCTGGGCCCAAAAATGTGGAATTGAGAGCCAAACGTATGGCGATGGCGTTAGAGGTCACTTCGCCACGCCGCCACGCCCACCTGCTCCATCGTAGCTGGTCGGGATTAGAATCCTCAATACACCAACATGTCTTCTGTGTCTGGGCACAGTTTCATGTTGATGAGGTCAAAGGGTCAGATAGTGAAAGTTCACAGTAAAACATTACACTTCCTGTTCTCAGGGGAAGTGGCCAAAGTGATGTCATCATTCGACCATAGGGTATTGTAGGACACCCGATGATGATCAATCATAGAAACTTTGGTGCCTCTGTGAGTTTCTGTGTAGGAGATATAGCAGTTTATTTTTTTACGGCGAGTAGGTGAACTTTGACCCCTGCTAACCCCCCTTCAGCATACTCAAAAACTCACAATTTTGATAACTTTAGATGGGACATGCCTTATGAACAGACTGACCGAGTTTCAAGCCGATCAATCGAAATCCCTAGGAGGAGTTCGATCAAATACGGAGGGTGTAAACGGCAAAAATGGCCTCAAAATTGGACCTTCAATCCAAAATGGCCGACTTCCTGTGATACTTGCACTATGACATTAATTGTAAATTTTGAGCATCTTGGGGAGCTCTACAAGTGTACCAAATTTCATGTCTCTAGGATAAAGTAAGTGAATAGCAAAGGTCCTTTGAAAATTTCTAGGTGGCGCTATTGAGCCATTTCTTATGGGATTTTTGCAATGACCTTAAAATACAAAATTTTGAAACTCCCTTTACGCGTCCGCCAAGTTTGGTGAGTTTTTGAATATGATAAAGCCCTCAAAAAGCCAATTCATTTGGGTGGAATAATAATAATAATAATAATAATAATAATTAAAGCTGCAAGCAGCCTCGAGCGGCCCTCGCAGCCAAGCGCCGCTCCGGCCTATTGCCACCGCAGGGTACTAGCAACCGCCGCCCGACGCCAGCCACCACAGATACTCTCAGCAGTTTTGAGCACCTCCGCCCGCACCGCGGAAACTGTTGCTCCGTTTCCATCAACGCTCCCCACGTTCTAACACAGAAGTCGTTGCGCGGTTTCCGCGCCCGTCCACCAGGCGGTACGCATCGATGCGTTCGGCGGCACTTCCTGACGACGCACAAAAAATGTGGTGCAGATTTGTTTATTTAGCGAGGAGATATAGCTGGTGTATTAAGGTAGTTGGCGCAGTGGAGTCAAAATACATTTCAATGTTGTTGGGGTGTTTAGAGGTCAACAAAGGTCATACATATCCAATTTGGCGCCAGTCGGATGATCAACGTATCATTTAGAGCCTATCATATGCACATGGTGAAGAACTGCAGTCCGCCATTTCTACACCCCAATGCGGTTTGGTCAGCAGCCAGCATTCACAGAGTTCATCATCTTGTCGTTTTAAGTCAGTATTCACATGATGAAACCCATATATATGATAGAATAACAGTAAAACTCACAGGAGAAAAAAATGGTGATTGCCTTTGAAAAGTGGGCGGGGCTAGGGTGATTTCATCAAGTGACCATGGAAATGTGTTCAGGATTGTTCTATAGAGAAACACAGGAAGTGTGATGATGCAGCTGTGATCTTGCATTTGGAAGTTTTTTAATGTTTATGTTTCATGGCAAATAGTGAAAGTTTTACACTAAGCCACACCCACATGCTTTG